AACAATTGACAAAACTGTCACCTTTGTTAAGGTAGGAAAAAAAAAAAACACATATATGTATCTGAGGGTACTTCAAAAAATTCATGAAAATACTTGTACTATCTTTTGATTCTATTTTTCCAAGAACACTTTGAGGTACCTTTGTACACGTATAAAATGAACCAATGGATTTGAAGAAGAGAATTTCCAGAAAATGCCACACAGTAGGATATGCATAGAAAATGATGAGTTAAAGAAATCAGTGTTTAATTTTCAAGTAGAATTCATAGAAACCAAAAAGTCTACAGGGATTTTTGTCTTAGACCGTAAAACAGTGTCTCATTCACTTTTTCTCCAGATATCATAGACTCTTAAAGTAGAAGAAAGCAAAAGAAATCAGTGTTTAATTTTCAAGTAGAATTCATAGAAACCAAAAAGTCTACAGGGATTTCTGTCTTAGACCGTAAAACAGTGTCTCATTCACTTTTTCTCCAGATATCATAGACTCTTAAAGTAGAAGAAAGCATTTGAATAAAAGCCTGCCCTTTTATGACCTCTGTTAGTCAGAAGCTTTGCTAGGTTAGACTTAAAAGGACAGAGAAAGCTCAAAATGAAAAGAATACTTGGTATACAATACCTTACTGTTAACTATAGGCACTATCTTGTACAGCACATCTCTAGGACTTATGCATCTTGCATAATTGAAACTTTGTACCATGTGACTAATACCTCTCCATTGCCCCCTCTCCTCAGCCCCTGGCAACCACCGTTCTACTCTCTGCTTTTGTGAGATTGACTATTTTAGATTCCTCATATAAGTGGTATCATGTGGTGTTTTTCTTCATGTGTCTGGCTTATTTCACTTATCATAATGTCCTCCAGGTTCATTTATGTTGTCATAATGGCAGGATTTTCTTCTTTTTGTAATGCTGAATCATATCCCATAATCTGTATAAACTACATTTTCTTTATTCATTCATCCATTTGTCAACATTTAGGAAGACATGAAATAAAGTAGAGAGCCCAGAAATAAATCCACACATCTAAGCTCAATTTATTTTTGATAAAAGTGCCAAGAACACACAATGGGGAAAGAACAGTCTCTTCAGTAATTGGTACTGTAAAAAGTGGATATCCATACACTGACAAATAAAATAGGACCCTAATCTCACAGCATAGGTATCACATTTTCTTTATTCATTCATCTGCCAGTGGACACTTACATCGCTTCCATATTTTGTCTATTGTGAATAATGATGCACTGAACATAAGAGAGCAGATACCTCTTTGAGATCGTGATTTTTACTTCATTGTGAGATATATGCAAAAGATATTGTCAAGTGAAATGGTAGTTTTATTTCTAACATTTTGAGGCACCTCTATTATTTTCCATGATGGCTATACTGATTTAAATTTCCACCAATGATTTATATGGGTTTCCTTTTCTCCACATATTTGCCAACATTTGTTATCTTTTGACTTTTTAATAATAGTCATCCTAACTTTTGATTTCTGTTTCCCTGAGATTAATGATGCTAAGCACCTTTTAACTGTTGACTATTTGCATGTCTTCTTTGGAGAAAAGTCTATTCAGTTCCTTTGCCCATTTTTTAAGGCAAGTTATTTGTGTTTTTTGCTATGGAGTTGTAGAAGTTCATTAAATATTTTGTACATTAAACCTGTATCAATATATTGTTTACAAATATATTTACATAGGATGCTATTTCATTTTTTGATTGTTTCTTTAGCTGTGCAGAAGCTTTTTATCCTGTCTTCTTATCACATAATAGTTATAATAGCAGCAATAATAACAAAAAAGGAAGATGGGAGGAAACTTTCTGAGGTGATGGATATGCTTATGGCATAGATTTTGGTGATGGTTTCACAGGTGTATGCTTATCTCCAAATCCATCAACTTGTATACATTAAGTATATACAGCTTTTTAAAAAAGTCAAACACACCACCGTAAAGTGGTTAAAAAATATTGCTTGCTTTTGCGTGGGTAGAGATTAAATTTTATTTCATATTCTTGCCTGCAGCAAAAATGAACAATTCTATTCCCATTCTTTATTCTGCTTATACTCCTATTTTCAAGGCCTAATTATATGTTTAATAAATACTTTTTGCTAATAGAAACAATAAGCATATGACATTTTAATAATTTTGCTAGGATAAAGAAACTTTACAATAATATCAACATAAACAGAGAAATATGGGTGTGTAAATTTGCTTCTGTGTTAGGATTAGCCAAGATATTTATCTTGACATATACGTAAACTTAATAATGTAACATTCAGTAAAATTAATTTAGTGTTATTTATTTTAAAAAGAGGGAAAAAAAAGAATATTTGAGGTCCCTGACTTATAGGCTTAGAAATATAGATTGAAAACTTGGACCATTTCTTACCACAGTAAAATAAATTGTGAAGAAAAAAAAGAATTTGTTTGGCAAGTGTTAAGTTTAAGATGCATATGAGAAGTGGTTCACAAGGCTTTAGAATTTGCTTTCTGGAGCATAAACATAACTGATGATTTAAGATTTAGATTTGGGCATCTTAAATTTATAAAAATATATGAAGTCAGGTAAGTAAAAAGGAAAAGTGAAGCTAGAGAAAAAAATAAATTCATTAGATCTTCTTAACAATTTATTTATAAAATACCTACCTCTCAGGTCCAATCTGTTACTTTTACTAAAGATTATTTTTTTCTTTTAATACCGTTTACACAGAGAAAGGGAACTCATTTAAATATTCATGAATATTTATGGATATTTAGTTTTAATATAATAATTTTCCATAATATACTATTTTATGGTGGTGAAATGGGTAAAACATAAATATAAGAGAGAAAAAAATTAAATCAACTAAAACCTTTGGATAATTATTAATGCACATACATCTTGAGAATATAGGCCCGAACTGCATTTTTACCTCACTTGAAAAATGTCTTTCCAAATTATGTGTTGTGGTGTAATTAGATAAATAAAGAATTTAACAATAAAATGTTATCCTACTTTATTGCTGGCATAAGCATTTCGGAGCGTTCTGGTTATGAGCGTTTCATAACAGCTGCATCTTGAAGGGAAGAACATAACCCAGTTACATTCCCACACTGGCTAAGTCCTTCTCTTGACTTGTTTATTCTTTTCCCCATGAGGCCCCAAACCTGGCAGGAGTGAACTCCACCTCCCACCTAGTGTGACTTTCAGCTCCACTTTTCAAGGTCTCCTGTCCACCAAAGGCATAAAACCTCAGTCTCCGTGACAGTGGAGGATCCGCAGCACCCACTCCCGCATTTGCTTGGTCCGGGCACCATAAATCAAGGGGTTGAACATGGGAGGCACCAGGAAATAGAGATTATCAATGATAATCAGTAGATGGGGAGCCAAATGGTAGCCTAAAATTTGGGCCAGGACAGAGATGACAACAGGAAAATAAAACAGACCAATGACACAAAGATGAGAGCTGCATGTGCTGAGAGCTTTTCCCCGTGCTTCCCAAGATGGTATCCGAAAGACAGCACGAAGGATAAGTCCGTATGACAGACTGATAAAAAAGATCAAATCCCACAGATGCTACGATAAACATGATGCCATAGGTAATGTGTTCAGAGATGTCTCCGCAGGCTATCAGCACCACAGGCGTGTACGCACAGTAGGAGTAAGGAATTATGTGGGTTTGGAATCTGTCCAGTCTTTTTGCCAGGATGGGTGCTGGGGTCAGCACTGCCACTGTCCTTGCCAGAAGAGCCAGTGCTATCTTTATAAGCATGCTGTTAGCAAGGATGGTGGTATATCTCAGAGGGTACCAGATAGCCACAAATCTGTCAAAAGCCATGGCCAGGAGGATCCCAGACTCCATGACATAGAAGGACGGCATGAAAAACATCTGTGTGAGGCAAGCATTGAAACCGATTTCCTTGTCATTCATCCAGAAAATTCCCAGCATGCGGGGCACAGTTACAGTGACCAGGCACAGGTCAACAGTTGATAACATGGCCAGGAGGAGAAACATGGGCTCATGAAGACTCATCTCCACCCGGATGATGCATATAATGGTAACATTGCCAATGACTGTGATGACAAATACCAAGAAAAAAGGCACAGAGATCCAGCCATGGAAAGATTCGAGGCCAGGAATTCCAGCCAGGATAAATATCAAGGGCTGAGGAATGGAGTTGTTGCAAGAAGACATCCTTCACCAGAGCTCCTCAGGGTCTGATTCATAGGGAAAAAGAAACAAAGGACATTTTGAAACCACTGCATTATTCGCACCTACAAAATGCTGTTACAGCAGTTTAAAATGATAATTATGATTATACTATGTAAACTAATGATCAGATGAATGCTTCAGATATTTGGGTTGAAGAGGAAGATAATTCTAGGCTATTTATTCTGCAAGAGAGAGAAGTAGTCTCAGAAATAAATTCTCAATAAACACATATCAACTCCATAGTTTAGATTCTCCTGTGGCTCTGATCCTATTTAATATTCAATTTTTGCATTTTAACATGGCAGGACAGTATTTTCACATTACAAGCAGAAAGTTGGGGTACAAATGAGCCAGATAGCATGGTTTTCACTCAAGACAGGGAAACTGAATTTAATCCTACCTGAGTCACCAGTTTTTGGGATAAGACTTGGTGCTTTGGAATTCTTTCCTGGAATATTTAGTTACAAATTGTTCATTTTGACAAAGGACATAAGAAATCTGCTAATCGTATTCCTGGAAAGCATGATTGTATTCTGGAGGAATAAAAGATGTTTTGTATGACAAAAGTGGACAAATAAAAATTTAGTATTAAGTTTCCAGATTATCCAGTAAAGCCTGGTTGGAGAGTGGGTAAATGTAAATGTAAATTAATGATTTTCTGTCTATATACATGTTTGTGTGTTTTTATATGAAAAGCAGGGTTTGGTGGTTAATGGTAACCCATATTTCTATAGGAGCATGGCTTTATTATATTTATTAAATATTTTAAGCCACAAATCTCTTTAGAATAGAAGTACATGTTTACAAATTTACAAATTATTTGATGAAAACCATAGAATAAAGAGTATACTTAATCAGTATATTAAAAGAAGAAACCAAAAAATCTGTATAAATACAAAAATAAAGGTATAGAAATAAGACTTTTTCAAAATTATATGATTGCAATTAAATTTCACTATTAAGGTTTATAGTCCTGATTTTGTTAGAAACATTCCAACTATACAATAATTGTAAAAGAAAATCACAGAAAAAGGGAAATTTCAATATAAGTTTAAAATAAAGGATGGAAAAATGTATCATAAAGTTGTTTTCAAAACAAAGGCATATTAATATTAATATTGTGTCATATTATTTTGTTTTAATTGTTGATGAATTTGAATTACTAGTGTTACTAATATATGTAGCAATTTCATCTCATCTTTTTTTTTTTTTTTTCCTTTTTGTCTTTTTCGTGTCCGGCAATGGATCGCAACCCTCAGTGTCGCGCCCGTACCGGACTGGGACCGGCAACGGGATCGCAACCCTCGGTGTTGCACCCGCACCCCGCTCAGCCAGTGAACGGGAACCGGTCTGTATCTGGGATCCGAACCCTCGGTGGGAGCGCTGCCGCGCTCTCAAGCGGCGCACTGTAGCAGTGCGCCACCGGGCCGGCCCCATCTCATCTTTTAATTTAGCATGTTTACAATTTATTTTAAATACCAAGGCATTGCTTTTAAGTTTCTTCTAAAAATTTATATATTTTTATCTCAGCCATAATATAAGCCTTTAAAACAAAAGTAAAAACAAAATTAGACATAGGTTATATAAATTTTGAATGAAATTTTTGTTAATTATTCTATTCTAAATATTTAAAAGCCCCAAATACAGTGGCATATCTGCTGTAACAGTACTGTACCACTTATACATCATAAATTGAGTTATTCAGATATAAGTATTTTGTATGTCAACTGCATTTAGTAAAAGGCACACCACAATTGAAAGATTGGTGGATCTTTTGGAAAGCAATTTTATAATGAAAATAGCCAAGTCTTTGGGATAACCCATGTCTCAGATTCATTCTCAGCCTTGCTACTTATTCTATGTGATTTGACAAAGTAGTTAAGGCTTTGAGACTGTTCTCTTATCTCAAAAAATGAAATGAGTTATACCTTGAAAATCGTGCAATGAGGGTTAAAACCACCGTGAAATTCCATATGTTATAGAACATGTACATGTTTCTGGCATAATTCTTTGCATATTTTGGTGCTCTGATGCAGATTTTTTTTCTTCTCTATGAAGTATAAAGTTTGAGTAAGACATATAAAAAATAATGATTGTTTTGATTTGTTTGTTTCTTAGAAAGAGCTGTGACTAAGATAATGAATAGTATTGGAATTGACACAAAAGAAATATTTGATGATTCTGGTAATTTTGCTCTGCAATATTTTTAGATTCATTCTGTGCTAAAAGGAAAAAAATATTTAATGTTACCAAGAGTAGACGCCTAGCCAAACAAAAGGTGCTAAAAAAATTAAAAATGCATATTTTGGTTCAATAGGGAAAAGAGTCCTATCACAAAGAGCTGCTTCCAAACAGACAAAACAGCCCTGTAAAACCAGAAGCTCACTAACAGCAGCATTTTCAGGTAGAAACTGAATGATCATCTCTCAGGAATACTGTAGATAAAAATTCTCCATGCAGTTGTGGCATTAGGATATCATCAAACCTTTAAGCAGCATGAAAGGGTTTTGCCTGAGCTACCAGAAACAATGGCCAGCAACAACTATACCATCTTTAACTATACATAAAGACACCATCAACTCAGAAATAAAAATTTGAAATATATTTGTTATTTTCCAAAGAATGTCATTAATAATTCTAAAACACTGCAGAACACCAGTTATAAGGGTTAGTGATAGTGGTATTTGATTCAAAAGATGTGAGAATCTTCTTTCTTACATGATTTGTTGCATCCAGGATTTTCCGGTCTTTCCTCCCCTCCCACTTTTTTCCTTCTTCCTGCAGTAGTGCCTGCAAATGGTTGAGTGTCAGGTCACAAGGGGCCTGGGACAAGCAAATTCCACTTGAGGTTTGAGGAATATTTGATGATCTCCAGAAAAAGATGGAGTGTGTGACCCTGAGTTAGATTTATGCTGGTTTATATTGGCTCTCTTGGGTCCCCAGTGGCCTTTCTGCTAGCCGAAGTGTTTTTCTTAGCTTGGATATTCTGGGGAACAAATCCTAGCACATGTGGATAAGAAGAGATGTTTAGAAGCAAGCTATTCTTGATTTCCCCAGACTAGGTCAGAACCTCACACTAAGTGCCCTTTTAAAAACTCACATCACTACCTGATAGCACTTCATATCTGGTGTGATTATGCATATAATTTATCACTTGATTAAATTATGTCACCTCCCACCAAAATGTAAGCTCCTTGTGTCATGGACTTCTTTTTTGCTCACCTTTTATCAGAATCTAGCACAACCTGGCACATTTTAGCCACTCCATAAATAATCATTTGTATGTGAATCTATAAAAAAAAGCTGCATATATTCTCTGTTAGAATTTAATGCATTTTTTTAAATTTTTAACTACACATATTTATGGGGGACAAAATGGTATTTTTATGCATGTATCCATTGTGCAGTGATCTAATAAGGGTAAATAGTACATCCATCTCTTAAGCATTTATTTCTTTGTGATGAGAACATTCAAAAACCTCTTCCAGGGCCGGCCTGGTGGCGCACTGGAGAGTGCGCCGCTTGGGAGTGTGGCGGCGCTCCCGCCGAGGGTTCGGATCCCATGTGGAGACGGGTTCCCGCTCACTGGCTGAGCATGGTGTGGGTGCGACACCGAGGGTTGCAATCCCGTTGCCGGTCCCTGGTATGGGCGTGACACCGAGGGTTGCGATCCCGTTACCGGTCAGTAAAAAAGACAAAAAGGAAAAAAAAAAAAAAAAAAAAACCTCTTCCAGCTTTTTAAAAATATACAATGAAATATTGTTAACTCTAGCTTCCCTACTATGCAGTTGAACACAAAAACTTATTTCTGTTATCTAAATTGTTTTGTTACTGTAGAGCTAGAGCTGGGTTTGGAGCTCACAGACCTGCTCTAGCCCATTGTCCAGACTGGGTCACAAACCCTTCACACACAGGTCTATGAGCTAAGTACTAGGAAAAGGTCCTTGGAGCCATGGGGGATGAAACAATAGTCTTTATTTTTAGATGAGGGCTCTGCTGACCATTAGATCAGAGCCATGCCTCACACACTGAAGAGCACACAAAAATAGCAACAAGTCAAAAGGATACACGGTGTGCATGCACACTAACTCTACTCCCACACAACTTGTTTACAAAGAATGTGCCGCACCACACCAGCCAGACCTGTGGTGAGGAGGCCTGACTAAACTACTCCATTTTCCTCACAGTACCCATTGACCAATCTCTCCTCATGCTCCCCCTCCCCTCACCCCTCCTCATCCTCTGGTAACCACCATTCTACTTTCTGCTTCTTTGAGAACTGTTTCTTACATTCTGCATAGGAGTAAGATCATGGGCTATTTGTCTTTCTGTGCCTGGCTTATTTCACTTAACATCATGTCTTCCAGGTTCATTCATGTTGTCACAGATGACAGTATTTCATTCTTTTTTATGGATGAGTAGTATTCCATTGTGTATATATACCACATTTTCTTTATGTGTTCACCTGTTGATGGGCATTTAGGTTGATTCCATATCTTGGCTACTGTAAATAGTGCTTCTATAAACATAGGAATGCAGACATCTCTTATGCATACTGATTTCATTGCCTTTGGGTATATATCCAGTAGTGGAATTGTTGAATTATATGTAGCTCTATTTTTAATTTTTTCAGGATCCTCCATACTGTTTTCCACAGTGGCTTTACTAATTTATAGCAGTATGTAGAGTTCCCTTTTCTCCTCATCTTTACCAACACTTATTATCCTTTGATTTTTTTGATAAT